CGTAGAAAATCTATGCTGGGAGACTCACACATCAAAATCAGATGTACGACCCAGATTGATTCAAATTAGTTAGAGCGAAGCTTTGAAACTGGAGGAAACAAAAAGAAAAAAAGAGAAAGAAACAGATAGCATCAAAATAGGAAAGTAATATATTTATTGATTGTAAAATTTAAAATTTTACATGGTTTTTAGATCAATGAACGAGTAAAAATGAATAGTTGAGATCATGAATGGATTGGAGGACAGGTGGGGCAGTCGTCTCAAACTCCTCCTAACATAAAATCATGCGTCTGTCCCTGGTTAAGATTAACAATAAGAAATTACTAGTTTTTTTCTTTTAAAAAAAAAGTAAAAATATCTTTAATTTGAAAGTTGTGACCTCAGTCATTAAATTTAATTAATTTAATGATAAAAATGTGTAAAACTCTTAAATTTATATGGCGTAAATAAAGTATACGAAAGAGATAAAATCTAATTACACTTAAAAAAATTTGAGAGTTTTACACAGTTAAATAAATGATTAGTGCTAAAGGACCAGAGGGAGGGAGGTGCTATTTTAGCTCAAAGTAGTCCATGCAACCCAAGGGATTTTCTCACACGTAAAACAGAAAAGCAAAAATGTTATTTCTCTCAAAACAAGAAACAATGACAAATGATCCATGCAAGTTCCTCTACTAGTTCTTAGCCGACAACATTTTCATATCTACATGGAAATATTTTGTTTTTAACATAAATATCTACTTGGAATTATATCTTAAAAACACGATATTCTGATAGATGATTTGATTGTGATTATGATATTTTTTTACTCCAATTAATTACGGAAAGATGACATCATTATTACGAGTGCATACGTATATGCGTCGTTGTCTCATGCATTTATTTATTATTTTAATGTTCTGTGAAGAAGAAAACACAAACCGACGGTTAAATAAATCTACAGCAAAGAGTAGTCCCAAATCAAAAGAAATGGGTCCAAAAATTTAGTAATGCAAATGCAATGGTGTTTGTGGAGAATAATAAACCTCATTCAAAAAGGTGAAACTAAGAATCAATATATGTTTTCTTCAAAAAAAATCAATATATCTATCTCATTAATTAAGTTATAGAATGACTTTAATATCACGAATTAATCAGACACAAATTTAATTAAAAATTATTAAAAAATTAAATCTTTATGAGTTATTAAATATTTTTTAAATTTAAATTTATCATTTAAATTTAGTATACATATTAGGTTTTAGGGTGTTCGGTTGTATCCAGTCAAAATGACCAATGACTACTCCAATCACGTAACAAACGATTCAAAGATTCAATACATTCGAATCTTCATGAGATGACTTTAACAAGTATCATCAAATTAAATATATAAAAATTCAAATTTCAATTGAAAAAAAATTGTTAATAAACTTGCATGCACATGCAAGCGTTATACATGTAAGAGGGATTAAAATTGTTGCAATTTTACAGATAATTATTGAATGCATTTGTAAGACATATTGCATTTCAAAGATAAGAATCTAAGTTTGAATCTTAAAAACGACTTTGTTGAGAGTAACAACAACAAACTTTGAATATAAAATAAAAGAAAATTAACAGACATGAAAGTAAAAAAAAGTAGTCGTTTGTGTTCATGTTAATTAGTTATATCCCTAGAAATATTGTATACTAAGTAGTTGTTTGTGTTCATATGTTAATTAGATAAAAAAATATATATGAAGTTTTATAATTCAAATCCAATATATATTTAGGGTAGGATCTCCCCCATTCTATTTTTTATTCATTATTATGCAAAGCGTGGCTAATAACTATTTACAATCTATAAGCCTTAACAATATGTTAAAATTAATAGAAAAGAAACAATGAAGAAAAACGTAACCCATCATTTATGTGTACAGATTTTTTGGTTTGTCAATGCATGGTTCAACAGGTGGCATATAATTCGTAGAAACAATGCAGAGATAGGTTAGTAGTCTTTTGGGGGGCAATGGTCCGCTGTGAAACAGTTGACCAAACCCCATCCTAAACATTGAAAATTTGGTCCCCTGTCTTGTTTTGTTCCAAACATTTCCCCCCACATTGGACCTATATCTTGAACAAATAAAAAAAACTAATTAATCATATAAATATTTTTTTTCATAAATTCAATCATGAAGTTGATGATGGTATGAGTTGTAACTATATATCAATTTTTTTGTTATATTTGGATATATTTGGTCTCTTTATCGTGTTTCTTAATCCATCACTAATTGAAGTATTGGACATAGAATGGATGACAACAGAGAAGAGTTGGTGGGACATTAGCTACTTTGAAAATTTAAAATTATCATGTATTTTAAAAAAATTTGCGAATATTTTTTTTACTAAACATCTATTTTCTATCATTTTAAAATTTTAAAAATTCACCTCATGACATGACATGCATAAAAAGAATTAAGCTGCTGCAACCCAAAGAGATTCCATAATAACAAAACTAGAATAAATGTAGAAAGAAAAGAACAGACACAAAAAAGGCAAGCACATAATCCCACTTCTTACATGCAATCTTCATGGAAAAGAAAATTAATAAAATATATTCATCAAAGAGAGAGCGAAAGAGGTAGTTCGATGTGATGTGTGCCACATTCATGGGTTTTGCAATCCCATAGATTCCATTAAGGGAACACATACGACAATGTACTAGGATTAACAATATTGCTAACATTAAAAAATATATATATATAAAAGAAGATTTGGGTTCTTTTCTTTAGGTATAACAGACACATATATCAGTTGGAGTTGAGTCAGTATTCGGTGATCAATGGGAAAGCTCAAATAAATAGGGATTACCTGAAATAAATTAATGCATAACAGCTCTCTCCTTTATTACTAGTAGTACCATAAATTGTTACAGATGATGACGGTGATAGCAAAACTTAGTTGAAATTGTTATTGTTCAGCTGAGAATTAACATCTCCCCTATAGAATCTTCTTCGATTTCATTCCCATCATCTTTTATCCTTTTTAATAAAAACATTTTTAATTGTTTGAGGGTATATATAACGTCATCTATTCTGAATCTTTTTTAGTTATTAATAATATATACATTCTATATATACAACTACTCGAATTTAAATATTTAAAAGATAATAATATTTTCTTTTATTATTAATGTGACTGAGTTCTTTTGTTTTAAAAACTTATTGCTACCATATATCTTTCAAATATATATTATTTTTTTCTAATCCCAAATGGAGCCATGGAAAGGTTGTTTAGGGAGATGAAGATTGAAGACAGAATATGAACGAGAAATTAAAAAAAATGAGACATGGGATTGGTTTCATTTTATCATTTTTTTAATTATTAATTTAGTTCGGTTTAGGTTTTAATTTTTCATATTAACTTTTGGTTTTATTTAAAAGGTAATTTTAAAAATATATTTATTTTATGTTATTCTGATCTTTTTAAAGTCTTTGATGTAAATATTAATAAGAATTACGATATAAATAAATATAAATAATTAATATTTCTTATATAATATTTATAAGTTATTTTCATTATTTAAGTATAAAATAATTATTTGTCTATTATAAAAACAGAAATTATTTATGAATTAGATAAAAAAAACTAAATATGATTCAATTTGAATAATTATTAATAAATTCAAATATTATGAGCTATTAAAATACTTCAATTCGATTTGATTTTTTATTGAATCTTTATTTAACCCTATTTAAAAGATTTATTTTAAAAAAATTATAAATTTTCTAATTTTTTTCTAAAAGGGTTGTTGCATGAAGAAACCAAAGGAGGGTCCTACACAGTTTTGGAGCATTTGATTCAAATTCTCCATATTCATGCTGGGATCCACTGCTTTTGTTTTGTTTCAATATAGGTTAAAACCATTTACTTTTGGATAGGTTTCAAAGTTTTTATATGCATTGGGATAAACGATACAAACCAAATCATGTCGAATGCGTGTGTGTATATATATAATTTAATCTTATCTTTAAAATAAAATTAAAGGGTTTTATGTTAACTAAACTATTTACGAGAACACAACTTTAGTGATGAAATAGAATGTGTTTTATCTTAAAGTTTTAGGTTGGAGTAGTTATGTATGTAGGAAGTACATGCATTTTCAATAGATTAAGAAAATTTTAAATATATATATTGTAATCACTTCAAATAATTCAAAAAAAAATATTATGCTTTATGAAAATTTGACGATGTCATTTTATATATAATTAATAATTTAAAATGTGATTATAATATAATATTTATATAATTTTTTCTTAACTAATAATATGTATATATGTTGTCGATATCATTACTCAAACCTAAATTCTCTCTCTCTTTATATATATCTCTTAGACCTCTTAATAAAATCTTAAAAGTTTAGAATTTTTTATATCATAAACCAAATGATATTAATGATTAAAAAATTACTATTATTCATCAAAATTTCGAGTTTAAACACTGTATAAATAAGAGTATGAAAATTTATACTATTTTAAAAATCGGTGGTTAGCTCTTGCACTCCTAATTTAATTGCTTTATCTTCAGTATCCAACTGAAGGGGAAAAAACAATAATTGTGAAAATCTTAAAATAAAAAAGAAAACGACAAACAGATATTTAATGTTGAAATGAGGGGTAGGACCATCTCCACCCTCATCTCTTTCATTTTTTTAATTAATTTCATTTCTTAATTAAGCTTTGTTTGTGGAAGGAGACGTTTCTCCATGTTTCAGCAGTTTGTAAACTTTCTGACTCAGAAATATTTATTTCCTTTTAATTTAAAAAAATGCCCTTTTTATTTATAAATTTCAACTTCAATTACAAAAATCATCTCTCTTTTTCTTTCTAGTATGAGGGAGTTGCAGAGATTTTCAGTCTGACAAAAGAAAAAGACTCTTTTTGATGATATTGGAATTGAATTGATTTTGATACCGAATCATATATCATATTCAGAGAGGTAGATTTAGACTCCTCTCAGATTATAAAAGTATATTAGATTTTCTTTCTCAACTTTTCATGGCGACGTACTTTCATGGGAACCCTGAAATCCAAGCGATGGATGATCTTCAAACCCTCGTACTTATGAACCCTGCCTATGTTCAGTACTCCGCCGCCCCTCTGCCGCAGGCGCCTCCTCCGAACAGCCTCGTTTTCCTCAACTCCCTCTCTCCTAACGTTCCATCTTCTTCCCACGCTCAGCAACTCATCGGCATCCCTCTTCCTACAACCTCAGATTCCAACCAAGAAGCCGTCTCCTCCTTGCATGGCCTCCTACAGCGCGTCCACTACAACTTGTACAACTCGATAGACCCTTCTGGACCGGCACGTGACATGCCACGCGCTCCGCAGGGACTGTCTTTGACCCTTTCTTCCCTACAGCAACCCTGTTATGGATCACAGGCTCAAGCAGTGCCGGGTGGGGACATGCGGGTTTCCTGCTGTTCCGCCTCTTCTGGTTCAGCCGTGACCAACGGTGTTTCGGGTATACAAAGTGTGTTGGCGAGCTCTAAATACTTGAAGGCTGCTCAAGAGCTTCTTGACGAGGTTGTTAATGTCAACAATAGTGGGATTACAAAGAGTGAATTGGCTAAAAAGGGTACTAGTAGAAATCATAACAACAGCAGCAAGACTACCGGAGAATCATCGGCGGTGGTCGGAGATGGCTCTGCAGACGGGGAGGCCGGTGGGAAGCGCAATACTGAGCTGAGCACGGCTGAGAGGCAAGAAATTCAGATGATGAAAGCAAAGTTAATTAGCATGCTTGATGAGGTATGGAAATTATGTGTATGAAATATAGAAATGTATTATTGTCGATTTGTATATAATTGTATGTCTATATGTATTGGTGGGTTTGGTTTGATTCTTTTGAAAGTGAAAGCGTATAAGAAAACAATTTTGTTTTCTGGGAAAAAATTGTGTGTTTTTATTTTGCTTAACCGTGATATTGTTTTCCCAGGTGGACCAAAGGTACAGGCAATACCATCACCAAATGCAGATTGTTATTCCCTCATTTGAGCAATCAGCTGGAATCGGCTCTGCTAAAACATATACGTCTCTTGCATTAAAGACCATCTCTAAGCAGTTTCGGTGTTTGAAAGACGCGATACTCGGTCGAATTCAAGCTGTAAATAAAAGCTTAGGTGAAGAAGATTGCCTAGGAGGGAAGACAGAGGGGTCGAGGCTTAAGTTTGTGGATCATCACCTTCGGCAACAAAGAGCACTTCAGCAATTGGGGATGATCAAACACAATGCTTGGAGACCTCAAAGAGGATTACCGGAAAGATCGGTTTCGGTTCTTCGAGCTTGGCTCTTCGAACACTTTCTCCACCCGTAATCCTCTGAATGATTCCCGTGCATTCATCAATGACATACCTTCAACTTCCTAAATGTCTGATTTTGTTTATTTGTATTTCAGATATCCTAAAGACTCGGACAAACACATGCTGGCTAAACAAACAGGGCTTACCATGAGCCAGGTACAGGCTAAATTCTATATTGTTTGAGTTCAGCATTGCTTTGAGTTGTCCAATTGTGGCATGTCTAAATGGATGATGCCTTTTTGTGATCATTTAGGTATCTAATTGGTTCATAAATGCTCGAGTTCGGCTTTGGAAGCCAATGGTGGAAGAGATGTACTTGGAGGAAATCAAGGGGCAAGAACAGAATGTTGAAGATTCAGCATCCAAATCCTCTGGTCTAGACAAAAGTCCAGCACCAGCAGAGAACCAGGATAAAAGTTCATCGATGACAATTTCCATGGCGTCGGCATCTCCTCTCAAAGGAAATGTCCAAAACCAGTTAGCGTTTTCGTTCATCGGGTCATCAGAATTGGAAGGGATCACTCAAGGGAGTCCTAAGAAATCAAGGAGCACCGAAGTAGTATTGCAATCACCAACTAGTGTGCCATCTATAAACTTGAACATCAAGCAAAGAGAGGCAAACGATGAGGTCTCCATGCAGTTTGGCAAAGAGGGATACTCATTTATGGGAACCAATACAAATTTCATAGCAGGTTTCGGGCAATATCCTATTGGAGAAATGGTGAGATTCGATGCGGAACAGTTCGCTCCAAGGTTCCCTGGTAATGGTGTTTCACTCACTCTCGGTCTTCCCCGTTGTGAAAACCTCTCATTGTCCGCAACTCACCAAACTTTTCTACCAAACCAAAGCCTGCAAATGGGGAGGAGGCTCGACATTGGCGAACCAAATGAGTTTGGTGCTATAAACACTTCCGCACCCCACTCTTCCGCTGCATACGAGAACATCGACATCGAGAACCAAAAAAGGTTTGCCACGCAATTGTTACCCAACTTTGTTTCCTGATGAATATGATTCCAATTCAGATTCAAGAAACTTATAGGGGAAGAAGGGTGTCCTCTTTTTCACTATTTATTGTCCATTTTCTCTCCTTTAGGGAAACGAGTAAAATGCATGGTAGTATAAAGAAAGAAGAAAATATAGTGTTAGTATAGATATATACTTTGGACAGCACAATTTGAGTCCTTAGCCAGTTTAGGATTTCAGCCATATATTTTGAGGATTGTATATTAATTTTGTATATTCTGAGGATTGGTATCATAAATTAGTTACTTGGTATACAAGTAAATCAATTTGGGTACAATTCTAGTCTACAATTTTCATGGATTTCAAAACCATTTCAACTTGGTCTCAATTATTTCAGTTATAGGACTTGATGCATGACATCAACTATTTAATGGGATGCATCCACCCCCAACTGTTAGCAAATTCCATAAAACGGTTCCGCAAAAATTCAGCTTAAATCATATTATTAAATTATGGCAGCAACACATGGCAACGGCTGGATCGTAATGTTTTTAAAGGTCATCATGACATCGCAACTGGATCTGTAATATAAAAATATAATTATTTTTAAGAAATAAATTATGACAACATTTGTAACCGTGTAACACTATGACTGAAATAGGAGTGAAAATGATATCATCTTTCCTGCCTCGGAAACCAATCAGAGGCTCACATAAGAAAGCTTCTAACAGATTGTTAAATCTAGGAAACAGGCTCCCCACACAATCTTTACCTGGGATTTGATTTCATCACTGGGGAATCATCATATTCTTTTGCCGTGTACTCAACCTGCTCATCAGCTGACGACTTTAGAACACTGAATAAACTCTTGCTCTTTGCAGTTGCAAGAGCAACATTCAAGAGTTTTGCTCTAATTGTTAATCAGAGCATCATAGAGGCTCACCGGAGTTCGGAAAAGGCACTTCAAGCCAAAATTGACATATACAAGCAGGGATCTAAATATCAGTTGCGATCGCGCCAGTTATGTTACATTTATCACAATTGCGGACATAGCGGATAATATTGCATTCATTGCGAGTATTGCGATCATGCAATAACAATTTTGGACGGTATCGATATCAGTGTATAATAACCGATATTTCGCTTGTAAATCCATAGATCAAGTATAACGAGCTCTTTAAGCTCGTTAAAATTTTGCTCGACTCTTGCTCGTTAAAAAACTTGTTGCTCTACTCACTGTTCGTTAAGTTTGCTACTCGTTAAGCTTGATGCTCATTGCTTGTTAAGTTCAGCAAAATTGTTACCTTATTTTCTTAACTATAGGTAAAATCTACTAATACAATATATAGCTTAATACAAACATAAATTAATAAATTTAACCGAAAAATATCAAAAGATTGTATGAAGTAATTTCAAAGTCTGAATTAAACGTAACAATCCACAAATATATTAAAAAAATAAACGTCTGATTTTTGGGTATAGTAAAATATTAATTAATAATTTAGTATTTTGTTGTTTATTAAAAATTTATGGATTAATAATTTATTATTTTTTATTATCTATAAATAAATTAGTAATTTTTTGAATAAAATATTTTTTAAGATAACTACTAAAATTTATATAAAAAAATTAACGAATTGCTCGTGAACTTATCAAATCGAGTTAGACTTTGCTCGACTCAACTCGTTAAGGTCTCGAGTCGAACTCGAGTTCGAATCGAGTTAACCTGAATCAAGCTTTTATCAAGCTTTAACCGAGTCGAATTCGAATTGCTGACGAACTGCTCAACTCGTTAAGCACCCCTAATCTCTGTTATGCTATATCTCCTTATATTATTTTCAATAAATGACTTCAGGTGACATTCTCCTACATATATCTATTTTCCATAAAAAAATCATTAAATGTTATTTCTCAAAAACTTAGGGATCTTTTAATATTTTATCTGATTACGGCAATTTGACCAAAAAATACCCCTAAAAATCAAATATCTCTAATTAGACACCTTTCACTGAATATTTACTGATCTAATACTCTTTTGGAGGAGAGAAAAGGTGTGTTGCACGGGACGTGTCTTCTAGGGGTTTTGCTAACCTGGCACCACAGTGGACGTGACTTTAAAGGTGTGTTTCGGGAGACGCGCTTTTCATTCTTGGATTTTTGGTTTTTTTTGCTGGGTTTCTAAATCTAAAAAAATTACAATTATTTTAATACAAATTTAATTTAATCTTATCATTTTCCTTATCGGGTTCTAACAGTTATTTCTGCACAGAGTGCATTGTCAAAAAAATTAAAATTTATAAAATGGTACCACTTTATTTAATACATAAATAGGGTATTACTTTATTAAGTTCATCGATTATTAAAAGTTATAAAATGGTCATCAGACTATAGAGTGTTGTTCTGTTGAGTCCTCCGACTATTAAAGTTATAAAATGATCACATGACTATTCATTATATTCCAAACTCGTCCTTTTCCATTGAAAAATGGACGATATTCTAAGCTGAACGTTAACATGTTGATTGTGATATAATAAAATCTGATATCAAAATTTCAAACTACTATCATATCTCAGTCATTATGTTAACCTCAAGCTTAAACAACCTTCAACTTTTAATAGTCAATAGACTTAACAAAGTAATATTATATAGTCGAAAGATCAATTTGTAACTTTTAATAGTCAAGGAACTAAATAAAATAATATCCTATAATCAAGAGACCATTTGTGTATTTTACACTAAATTTAAAGAATCAATTTTCCATTAAAAATTGACGATCGTTTAAGCTTGAGGTTAACATGATGACTGAAATATGATAGTCGTTTGAAATTTTGATATCAGATCTTATCATATCACACCATGTAGACACAACTACTCAAACCCGATAAGGATCCCAACAAAAAATTGTGATTTTTTTAATCAGGGAATAAAAAGCGCGTGTCCCGAAATGCGACTTCAAAGGCGAGTCCACCGTGGCTCCAGGTCAGCAAAATCCCTGGAAGGCGCGTTGCACGGAAACACCTTACCTTTTTTTCACCTAAGACGCTTTTGGTGAAACGCGCCTCCTTATCTCTCCTCCAAAAGAGTGTTATATCGGTAAATATTTGGGAAAATGTGTCTGATCGGAGATATTTGATTTTTAGGGTGATTTTTAGGTCAAATTACCTCTAATTACTTCACTTTAGAAAAATATAATTTTCCCCTCTTTCCTTTGTTATTTCCCCCTTTTTTTTCTTTATATTTTTTCTCAGCTTCTCTTCCTCCTCCTTCCTTCTTCCCCGTGAAACTCAATAGAAAAGAAAAATGGAAAGTGGGAATAAAAATAGAAAAGAAAAGAAACCCCTGAGCAAAAAGAATCATCAAACATAACACCCCAAAATTTTAAAATTCAAATTCCTAGGATTAAATCTAATTTTTTTTATTAATTAATATTTTATTTTATATTAAATAATTTTTTCCGGTTAGACACATTCGATTGATTTTCTACGAAATCTAATATTTTCAAACATGTTATCGAGTATTATAAAGAATTATCTTATAAAGAGTGTCTTGTATTGGTTTTGAACTGGGTGATTATTCCAAAAACAATTTTTGAATATGAAATCATATTTTAAAGAGATTTATTGTTATGTGTACGCGTGTATTCAGTTTTTGTTAAAGTAGATTCTATATATATATATATTGGCAAAGTATTATATGTATATTAATATTGAGTGTGTTTTAAAAATTATAATTAACTTGGAGTGTCGACCAAATATTTAAAATAACTTGTTTTATATTCGAATTTATATATGGATATTCGATTGTAAAGTGAATAGTTTTAATTGGTGGATTTCAAAGCAATATATATTATCATTATTTTATTAGGTTAAGTGTCATTATATCCAATATTTTGGAGTTGAGTTTCCGAATACTATAATGATGATGATGATAATAAGTGAATCCTTTAGTTTTAGGATCTAGAGATTTTAAACCTAAATCTCCCCGACCGATTGTTCAACCATTTTCAGGTCATCGGCGAAGTCTGGTTCAACAAACCAACCGACCATCTCCAAAATCAATCGGTTCGAGCAATAAATAAACCGAAGAAATTTTGGAATTGATATTGTGTGAAGTTATAATTATCAATCCTATAACTAACTTGATGAAATTATTTTTCGGCGACTTTAAAATGAATTTAAAATATTAAATCTTAAAGGTTTGAAAAGAAATCATTGTTTTAGGCAATGGATTGAATTGTTTGAGAAATACGATCTTAACAATACAGGCGAAAAGATTACTGCATCTAAATTTAATTAGTTCATATTTTGGATACCTTAGCTATAGGGGTCGACTTGAGTAACATTTTGATTCGAAATTTTCTGGGGTGTTTTCAGAAAAATTACCAAGGTTGCCATTAGATAGAGAGATGAAGTTCAGAACCAACACACAATCTTGAGTTTGGTATTTATGCTAAAAGTACGGTGTCACCATCTGATACGATGAAAGATGTTATAGTATACTAGTTATTAAAGTTCAAAATATTTGATGATGAGAAATGCTTGACAAGACCAAAAATGGTGAAACAAAAGCACTTTAACGTCAAGTTCGATGAATGTCTCTATTATCAGAATAAAATATATGCTCTTGATGATAATAATTTAAAACGAGTGTTCTCAATCCAATCTATTGACAATGCGACCAAAGGTAACAAATATAATAGAATTTCAAGTCGGTAATAATGGACAGATATAAAAAGAGTCGTGATTGATTTCATAACAAAGTATATGACTCGTCAGCATGTTAAAGTAAATACCAGGTCTCGGCTGGATTATTACAATTTATTTTTATTCTGCTGTATAAATAAATAAAGTTGTAATAGACTTGAGACGTGCTCAATGACGCCTAATAAAAATGAATGGATATGATATGAGCAATTGAAGATAGACTGATGAAGTCTGCATTTTATTGCAGTTCAAATAGATATTATTTGAAATATATATATATATATTGTTTGATTTTTTAATTAACAGAATCGAGTATATATGATAGAGATCTGAGACTTGTGATTTTTAGAGATTCCTTGCATAAGATGTTAAGACGTCGATTTGATTATTCTTGTATTGTTTTTAATCCGTCTACTAATGGTCAATTGGAGAAAACAATACAGATTTCAAAAGATATATTTGGAGCTTATGTGATCAAACTTGAAGACTTGTAGGAAAAGTATTAGTCGTTGGCATAGATGCTTATAATGATAATTAGAAAGTAAATATAAGGATGACACCTTACAATACTTTGTACGGTGAAAGGTATAAAACCATTTTAGAATTTGTTCGAGCTCAAAGATAACTCATTGATGGGATCAAATTAGCTTTAGACATGAAAGACATTGTCGCAACCGGCCCCTATTGGAAAGTTCGACGGGTTGCAACGATAAAGTTTTTGAAATGGTTTTATGAAATATTGGGAGTCACCACCAACTATTATAAGGTGTCGTTAGAACATCATAAAAACATGTTAATTTTAATAAAACATTTTATTTTTATTAAAACACCAAGTTTGGAGTATGTGAAAACCAGAAACTAAGTTCAGGAGTTGGTTAAGCATAGGGAAGGGTTAGCAACTCCACAACGCCCAGAAGTTAATACCTAGTTGATTACCCTATTTTAAAATTTGGAAATTTGGAGTTCATAGTTTAATTAATTTAGAATCCACTATTGATCCACTATTGAGATGACTATCCAGCTCAGTTGGTAGAGCACAAAGTTCTTAACCTTGAGGTCGTGGGATCGAGTTCCACGGAGGGCATTTCATAATTCGGAGGTCTTCTACGGAAGCTGCTCTCAACCTGGTGTTGGGGACAACCTACTATCTTACCTCCCGCTTACCCCATTAAATATGGGAACAAGGAACAACCATTTTTTTATTGATTCACTACAGCAAAATAGTGTTTTAGCGGCCTTTTTTTAGTCCTAGCGGCATTTTTAAGCGCCACTAAAAGCACTTGCAACGATAGGAAAAACGCCGCAAGAAGCGCCGACCATACCAACGCTGCTAAAGTTAGCGGCGTTTGAGAACAAAAAACGTCATAATAGAACAAGATCTATCGCGACATTTTTGGAACAAACGCAGCAAAAGGTCGATAGCTATAACGACGTTTTTGGAACAAACGCCGCAAAATGTCAAGATCTATAGCGGAATTTTTGGAACAAAAGCCGCAAAATGTCAAGATCTATAGCGGCATTTCTATAGCGGTGTTTTTGGAACAAAAGCCGCAAAAGGTCGGATCTATAGCGGCGTTTTTGGATTCAAACGCCACAAAATGTTAGATCTATAGCGACGTTTTTGGATACAAACGCCGCAAAAGGTGAGATCGATAGTGGTGTTTTTGGATACAAACACCACAAAAGGTATGATCTATAACGGCGCTTTTTTATACAAATGCCACAAAAGGGCTCATGATAGGAAAAAAAAGAACCATTAATATCTAAAAATAGATGACAAAACATTTCCCATTTTCTTAGCTAAAAATGTTTATTCGAGGGTTAAAAATAGTAAAAGCAATATTGCAACCACTAAATAAGTATAATAGTTGTCAAGAACCGAGCAAAAGTAGAATCACCAAAAAGTAAGTACTGTGAAATCATATTTACATATGAACTTCACTCACAAGATGTTTAAGAAACTTAAAATCTCCTTCAAAATAGCTGTCAAAAACTGAGCAACTTCCATCTGTGTGAGAATTAAAGAGTCAGACATGAGAGTGAGGTGTTTTTTGTAGGACGAAGTTCTTCTTTAGTCCTCACCTCTCTTAGATGCATGCAGTCCCTCAATATTAAAACCTCTAGTAGATCTCCACCACTGCCATTTCCCAAATTCCTGATCAAAGAGAGAACTTCTGAGTAGTGTGTAAAAATAAGTGTTAAAAAAAGAGGACTTCAAAAGAATCTCATAAGTATGGTTGACAAGGGCTGAATGGACCTAAAAAAGGTTCCAGTAATCGAGTATGACGTTGAAAAATCAACATATTTAAGTTTACGGAATCCCTGCAAGTGATAAGACCACCGTTCAGTTTAGTATAATAAAAGAGGATCACCATTCTTCCAGAAAAAAATAAATGTATGCAAAGTTGAATACACAATTGAGCTCATATGATACTACCAACATATTCATCACAAAAGAAACTCTGATGAATGTAATTTCCTATAATGTACAACATCAACTCTATATGGTAAATTATAGAAATCAGTTAGAATGATGAAGTTATGATCCCACCAACATATTTTGCTCATGTCTCCCTTCAGAAAAGCTTTGACATTTAAATCATATAGATGTCGAAATGACAAAATAGAGCATTAATGATATTGCTACAAGTTCCAAACACTGCATCTAAATTTCTGACCACAATAGTCCAACAAACTGTGCTAGAGCAACATTCAAAAGGAACACTAAGATTTCTAATTCTTTTGCGAATTTAGAGGGTAATCATGAAATATATGGAGATATTATCTCCTTTTCCAAATAAAAGTATAGGATAGAAACATTTTTTTGTCTCATCATTGTACTAAAAGCATATGATTAATGGATCCAATGGAATTCAAAGGTATAGGAAGAAGCTCTGTCAAATATAGAAAAATCTCTATCTTCAGTAAATTTTATATGAAATTTTGTTCACTGATATCATTAGAAAATAACAGGAATTATAATATAAATACAAAAGATGCCCTCTAGGGAACGAGCCTTTACTATCTACATGCAGGATGATTTTGAAGCATTTAAAATCTACTGCAACCAAGACAGAGTGAGAAAAGAATACATGGACGATTCGATGCACAACATGCCCACTTGATACAAGCTTCCAATCCCTAATCTCAATATCACTATCATAAATTCAGCGATGTGCTGATATGCCATAAAAAATATCAAACTTCCGAATATATAAGCTACTTAAATACCAACAATGAAAAAACACATTGAAGGTTCTCTTTCCAACGCTATCCGCCTCTACTAGACCTACATAACATTCCATCTCAAAGTTCACTCCAAATTTCCGTTAGTTACTTTCTAGTTAATGAATAATTAATAACCCATTCCCACTAAGGACACCAATATCGCACCACATTAAATTTCAAGGTTGTTCCAGAGATATTAAGGGGCTATGCACATAATTGATATGATAAGCTGCCTGAAACATTAATGAGTAGAGCATATAAAAAACCAGCTTATATAGAAACTTCAAAAGAGCACTTCCCAGTTCTAAGTTCATTAAACTGTGAAAGAATTTTGGGTTTCTCTGTAGAACAAACAATATGTAAAAGGTTATTTAATACTTCCTATCCCGGAATACGTTCAACAATCTTTAGCTATAAACACAATACTTTGATCCCCACCAAAAGGCAAATAAAAAAGGGAATTCATTAATCAACAAATTCTACCGCAGAGATTAAAACATAGTATATTGTGTCTGCACTCAAATCATACACTAACCAAAAGCAGCATAAGAATCTTAAAGAGCTCCACTTGAAATTCAACTAATATACGGAACACATGAGAAAACAAAAATAAAGAAGAATTATGATCAAACATAAGGAAGCAGAAAAGATTAAAGAGGCTGACCAATTGCGGCCAAGAACTTCCTCAGCGCGATAGCTAGTAACCATCTCAAAGACGGTATTGACATAAATGATGGGATGGTCGGACTCGAGAGCATCGGTGACTATTAAGCCGCAAGGAGCGGTTTGCAGGGATGTGGGAATAGGGAAAGGAACAGAGCCTCCCTCGTTGAGAAGGAAGCCGTCGTCGTCGTCCCCACTTAGATCAGAATTACTATCCCACTCCATATAATTCTAAAACAAGGGAATCGAGGTGGGAGGTGCTTATTCAACCCATGGATAAGGAAGGAGAGAGAATAGGATTCAGTGCGAGAGAAGGGAGATAATGATGAGTGGTGAGCAATGATGAGTGGTAAAAAATATACCAACAGTTGAATGGAACCAGGAGACCCAGTTGTTCCAGGTACTATATCGAGCTTAAGCGACGGAGTTATGAAGTGAAGCATGTTTCCAAGAGGAGCGATTCGCGGCATAGAGGAGGAGGCAACCTAGGTTGTAAGCGCGATCGATTAGAAGAGATTGATCGACGTCGGAAAGGGAGGAATGGAGGAGGCGGTCGAAGGAAAGGTCGAAAGAAATAGGAAGGGAGGAATCAGGGAATCAAATAGGGACCGAAAAGGTTAGGGAAACAGAAAAGGTGAGATCGGCGGGAAGCATAAAAGGTTAGGGAAAATAAAAGATTAGATCAGGCTGAAGGGAAATAAATTTTTTAAAATTTCCCGCGTTTTTAAACTCAACCCCCCCACCATCCCCCACATCCCCACCATACTAAACTATTGTGGCTTTTGTTAAAAATACCGTTAAAGAACTATCCTGCTGAGCATTTGTTGAAAAAATACAACTGTATATGATCCTATTATTACGTTTATATAAAACACCACTAAGTATTATTATTTTGTGGCGTTTGTTAAAAAAAAATAAATTTTTAAAATTTCCCGCGTTTTTAAACTCAACCCCCCCACCATCCCCCACCCCCACAAACATACTAAACTATTGTGGCTTTTGTTAAAAATACCGTTAAAGAACTATCCTGCTGAGACATTTGTTGAAAAAATACAACTGTATATGAATCCTATTATTACGTTTATATAAAAACACCACTAAAGTATTATTATTTTGTGGCGTTTGTTAAAAAAAGACCACTATAGATGAACCCTATTACGACATTTTTATACAAACGCCGCTAAAGTACTACTCTGTCACGACGTCGGTTGAGAAACGCCTCTGTGGATGAACCTATTGCGGCGTTTGTATAAAAACACCGCTAAAGCACTACTCTGTTGCGGCGTTTGTTGAAAAAACGCCACTATAGATAAACCCTATTATGGCATTTTTATACAAACACTGCTAAAGCTATAATTTTGTGGCGTTTGGAATATAAACGCCGCTATATGTTTAAAGTTAGCGGATTTTACTCTCAAAACGCCGCTAAAAACGCCGTTGTGGAACATTTTTGTTGTAGTGATTTAAAGTTGAAGAGGGTGTTTGTTTATTAAAGCCAATAATATTCACCCCTAGCATGAATGTGGGAGATCAATTATTGTACCCAATAACTAAACATTGACTCGACATTTCAAAAAATGAAGGGGTTTTTAAAAGGATGTTTACATATGTTGAATTATGTTTTAATATAACAAATTAAGGAAAAATGTTTTTGGACTTGAATTGAATTTATTCAAAGTTTTCAAAAATAATTCGAAGTCCAATTAAATTAGAATTTGAGCAAAAACAATTTTCCACAAATGTAGTACCAATATTGTTCTTACAGCATCGATACTCTATGAACAATATCGATATTCTATGAACAATATCAATATTGTTCATGTGGTGTCGATACCAAAGGTAAGAGAAGTATCGATACTCTTCAGGTAGTATTGATACTACCAGTTGTTTTCAAATAACTCAAATTCCAGAATGCAAAATAGGTATCGATACTACTTTACATAGTATTATCGATACCATGAACATAGTATCGATATTGGTCAAGCCCAACGGCTAGTAATGACTAGTTGATTTAAAAATTATAAAGGAAATACCAATACTCATTAAAGGAGTACCGATGCTCCCTGTCATGGGCAGTTTTATTTTGTAGAAAAATTGCTCCAAATCATCCCCAACGGCTAGAAACGACCACAAATACATTCCAACATATAAATACAAGTTCAAGACACTTGAAGAAGGGTTAGAACACCTATACAAGCAATCAAACACAAGAGAAGAATTTTTCATTCTTATTTTTCTCTCTTGTAAATATTTTTGTTCTTGTGAGCTTAACCTTGTAAACACCTACCTTTTAGAGATTTTCTTGTTTACTCATTTTATTCCTTTTGTAAAAGGGGAGTGGTTCTAACTTAGCCTTTGAAAAGCTAGGGAGTGTAAAGGTTATCTCTTTATCATGTGAAAAAGAAAGAACATATTAGTGAATTTGTTAGAAAATCCTCAGTGAGGAGTTAAGGTAGTGGATGTAAACTTGGTAGAGAAGTTGAACCACTATAAATCATTGTGCATATTGTCTATCTTTTTAATCTCCTTACTCCTTAAACTCAATAACTAACTTAACCTCTATTGGCAAACTATTCGGTTGTTAATTGAGCTTTTAAATATCCCAACAACCTACTTCAAGAATCACCATTGGTAACCCCCAGAGCATGATGGCAGGGACTATACTATTTATTCCCTCGTAAGTTAACATTACCTTGTGTTTGAAAAATAAATGCAATTAATCAACATGTTTAAGAACCTAATTATACTAAACAAGTTTATTAAAGGATTGATTACCAAACCTAAAGTGTCAAATTATGAAATTAAAGAACCTAATGGACTAATGAAATCTCTAATATTAGTCATATTATTTTATTAACCAATTATGGAACGAATAATTGATTTGAGCAATTGGGTATTTTCATGCAAAAGTCCAAATCGAATCACCCCTAATTAAAGGACTAGATTGAAATTAAACCTAGTGTCAAGGCTCTAATTGATCCTAATTTATCATGTCAATTGGGAAACCTAATTAATAGTTTAGGGACTAGAATGTGAAAAATTAAAGTCAAGGGACTAAATCTAAACAAAAGCTCTAATTAATAATTAGATTCATTATCTAACGGAAAGTCAATTTGAATCCTTGAGCATGAAGGCAATGACCAAATTGAAAATTCCCCCTCTTTTAAAGAACTAATATGTGAAGAATCTAAACATAAAAGATTGAAATTGAAATCTAGTTATTAACATGCTAATATTAGAATTAAAAAATAAAATAAATTTAAATTAAGGGTAGAGTATAGTAATGGTCACTGAACTTTTCTAAAACTTTCATTTAGGTCCCCCAACTTTTAAAACTTGCAATACAGTCCTCCAACATTTAGTTCGTTTGCAATATGATCCTCGACGTAACTGACCGTTTGACGCCGTTACACTGCTGTTAGTACGTTTGC